ATCAGGAGCTCCTCAGCTGTGGCAGCAAGGTGTTGGAGTTGGACCAGAACAGGACCAGAACAGGACCAGAACAGGACCAGAACAGGACCTGAGCAGATTAAATCTTTCTGCGTTATTTTGTTTAAAATGATATTTTTTGTCTGAAGCCAGTTTTAAACAGAGCCCCTGATTTAACTGTTTCTGTAGTTCTGTGAAGAGTCACACAAACTTTAAACATTTCTGTTTTATTTTAGGTTTTATTTCTGTAACTGCAGGTCTTCATCTCCATCAGGGATTATAATCTGGTAAATTAATCTGATCACAGGTTTCATCTCTGGTGATTTAATTTATAACAGCAAAAATCTTGACCAAGTTTGACTTGATTTGACAGACGGTGCAGCTGAAAGAAACGTTTTTTTAACACAAATCTTAGATTTGAGGGTTGAACTGAAACAAACCAGAAACTTTAGTTTGACACAAATTTAATTGTTTAGTTTCTAAAGATTTTAGATTAGTTTTTAGGTTTAATTAATAAAAAAAAACAGTTTGTTCAGTAAAACAGAGACCAGACTCCCGGGTCTCTGACGAACCGGTTTTCTTTGGACCTGAAGGTTCTGGTGTTGGTTCAGACTCCAGGTCTGGTTCTGGGTGGAAGTGGGGGGGTGTTCATGGAAACAGGGTGTGAACATCAGGAGGGGGTCCTCCATCTGCATCCTGGGTCCATTGTTGTGTTCTGTGGAGCCGGCCCGGTTTTATTGTGGAAATCAGTTTGTTTGCATCACAGAGGAGCGGAGACAGGAGCGGTTCTGATCCAGTTCAAAACTGCAGATTAAACTCTGTCAGGAGAGACAAAGTAAAAAACTTTAACGTTTAAAGCAGTCTGACCTGCAGGGGGCGCTGCTTCTATCCATCCATCCATTTTCTGTACACGCTTCTTCCTTTTCAGGGTCGCGTGGGTCACTGGTGCCCATATCCAGCAGTCACAGTGCGAGGGGCGGGGTACACCCTGGACAGGTCGCAAGTCCATCACAGGGCCACACATAGAGACAAATGAGACAAACAACCGTTCACTCTCTCACTCACACCTAGGGACAATTTAGAGTTATCAATTAACCTAACAGTCATGTTTTTGGTCTGTGGGAGGAAGCCGGAGTACCTGGAGAGAACCCACGCATGCACAGAGAGAACATGCAAACTCTACCCAGAAAGGTCCCCGGACCGGAATTTGAACCAGTGACCTTCTTGCTGAGAGGCATCAGCTCTACCAACTGAGCCACCGTGCCGCCGCGCTGCTTCTAATTAAAGATTAAATTATAAAATGACTCAACTTTATCTGTGGTACTGATTCTGATGTGTTTTAATGTCAAATAAATAAACAGCTGGAATTATGAAAAACTGATTTTATTAACTACATTCATTAAATAATTTCACTTTGTTTCCTGCTTCTTTGAGTTTAAACTGATATTATCTGATTATTGTTTCATTTTCTGGATGTTTTTATTTTATTTATTTATTTAATCTTTATTTAACAGGTAGATCTCATTGAGATTAAAAATCTCTTTCAAGACAGACCCGACCAAGAACGGCAGCAGCACACAGACAACACACAATTCAAAACTACAGATATTAAACTACAGTCAAATACTTCATGATAAATAAAAAAGACACTCATAAAAGGTAAGATAGGACTAAAATAAAGTACAAAATTAGTTAAAACATTTATGTCTTGAATGGCCCTAAAAACATTAAAAGAGACCAACTCCCTTAACTTCAAGTCTTTCTGCTGTCGATTCTGTCTGAGCGAAACTTTTACTTGTTAATAAAATTAACTTGTTTGAATTTTAGGTTTTACAAACATTTCCAGACATTTAAGATTATAACAACTTCCCCTCTGAACAAAATGTGATTGGATGTTCATGAGCCTTATACATAACCCACAAAATATTATAATCAACCAACTCATAGTACTTAAATAATTTCAACTGATAAAATAATAAATTTGATGGGTGACGTGTTTTCTGGTAATAATTCTTATGGCTCTTTTCTGTAAAATGAAAATAGTATTTGTGATTTTTTGACATGCTTTACCCCAAACTTCAATCCAGTAAATTAAATGTGGATCATCAGATAAAGATTTAAACTTTACATAGAATTTATAAATGTACCAATATGATTTGAATCTGTTTTATTTCCCAGGTAAATATTAAAATCTCCACACAAATAAACTGTTTTGTTACAACTCCTTCATGGAGCTTCATGAGTTGATCGGTGACTGTTCTGTATTAGAATCAGGTCATCGACAGACACAACTTATTATTATGTTTTTAGAAGTCTTTTTTATTATTTCAGTTGATATTATTTCAATATTTTCCATAATCAGTGACATTTTATCAAGTAGTTTACATTTTATTTCATTATTAATAGACAGAGCGACTCCACTGCCTCTTTTATTGATCCTGTTCTTGTAATAAAATGTATAAATGTTATCTGTAAGCCATGTCTAAAGTGTTATTATAGTAACAGTTCTGTTTAACTGTTTTAAATAGTCTGTTATTATAAATAAATTTGCATTTATACTTCTATAATTAAAGTAAATATTAGAAAGACCTTCATTTGTTATAGTTTTATTAAAAGTGAGAAAAAAATATTCTAAAAGTTGTTACTTTGTATATTTTGTAGCATTGTTTGTGGGTTTGTAAGAAGGTCCCTGGCAGAGCTAATGCTGTTTGAGGGGCCGTGACATGAAAAAGTTTGGGAACCCTTCATCTAGAGTGTAATTACAGACAGTCAGACAAAGCAGATTTTATGTTAAAATGACCTGCCATACATCTATACATTACTCAAGCAGAAAGTAGTTCCCTCCAACCACATATGATTTAGACATGATTTCAGTAGTTTAGTTATTTTCCACATTTTCCTGTTAATGATTTACATTATGTGAAATAACAAAAGTATTAAAGTATCAATATTTTTGATTTTAGGATCGATTTCAGAGCATAAAGTTCTGGTATCGGTGATATGTCAATATTGATCTGCACATCATTAGTGGCAAAACAAGATGTTTTCTAGCCTTCAAAGATAGATATGTTCTGATTGTAAAATACAAACCCAGCTTTATCTTCAGCTTTTTTTTTTACCAGTTGTTGAATGTGGGGAACAAAAGTCAGAGATTCATCAATAACAAAAACTGAGTATTTACAGTATACTGAGATACTTTCAATCTGAGAGCCTTGACATGTGATTATGGGCAGAGACAGGTGTGGTTTAGTGTCAGAAAACAGCATTACTTTAGATTTATGACAATTCAAAACAAGTTTTAAATTACACAGATTTGACTGAACCACATTAAAAGCAGTTTGTAGTGAATTAGCTGCACAACAGTGTCAAATGAGCACATCGTTCTCTAAACTGTTAATATAGAAAATAAGTGGACCACAGATAGAGACCTGAGGAACACCTCTGAATATTAAGAAATGAGAAGAAAGACCTTCCACATGATGATCTGTTGGACCAGCAGTTTGTAAACCTCTTGACTGAGTCCGATGTCAGAGAGCCTTAATATTTCATGATCAACAGTATCAAAGGCTTTAGATAAATGCAGAAATAGGGCTGCAAAATGTTGTTTTTTATCTAAAAACAGTAACATCATTTAGTACTCTTAAAGTTGCTGTAGTAGTACTGTGCATTTCTCTAAAACCAGACTTTTGAATGATTTGAAGAGATTAATTTAAGTTTAAAACTCTTTTCAGGGTTTTTATTTATTTTCTGTTTCAGTTTGATAAATAATCTGATTAATTTCTTCTGATCCTGAATGTTTTCACAGTATCTGTCAGATTAATTCAGATTTATTGGAAGAATAATAAATAATTTGACAGCTTCTGTTTTTTATCTGTTGATAAAATAAAACTAAAAACAAGCTGCAGTTCAGATTCTGACCAGCAGGAGGCGCTTTTTAACAAACACTGAAGGAAAAAAGGCTGAAATTATTGTTGATTTCAGCTGTAAACAAACAAACAGGTTATATTTATTTATGAAAATATTAAAATCATTTTGAACATTAAAGTTTAACATTAAAAACATTCAAATCAATCTTTAAACTGCTGAAAAGTAAAAAAAAAATTATTTCTGCATTTTCTTGTTGAATAAAACTTTTATTGTGGAAACTTGAATCCAAACAGATGAGTTGTTTATTAGTTTGTCAGCAGGTGGAGCTCCTCTGACAGGTTGGGTCAGTTATTATCAGTTTACTGTGGCTTTAATGAAACTTACCTGTTCTACCTGTTCAGGTGAGCAGGAAGTGCTGCCCCCTGCTGGACAAACACTCTGGAGCTTCACTCAACCCAACCAGGGGCTCCAAATAAGTCCGTTAGCTAAATATCCCAATAATCAATGATCAGGTGAGCGTCTGACTCAAGATGGCCGCCAAATGTACAGAAGCTGGCAGCTGTGAGTGGTTAACAGGTAAAGACACCTGAGCTGCTGCTCTCGGATTGGCTGAACAGAAGCTGCTGCAGTTTAAAGATAACAGCCAATCAGCACGCAGCAGTTTCTACCTGCAGCAGGTGAGACTCCGCCTGCAGCTGGTTCATGTCAGAACTCATCGGAGGTTCTGTTCATCGCTGAGAGGAACAAAAACTGAAGAGAAATCTGTGCCTCAGAGACAGAGAGCCTGACTACATGAAACCTGTTTAAAGATGTTAAATCTGACAAAAAACTAAAACATTTAACTCCCAGCTCATTAATCCTTTCAAAATAAAATTATTTACCATGATTAAACTTTATCTACAGCAGGTAAGATATTAACTCTTTATGTTCTCTTACACAGAACAAATAAAATATCTAATGTATATAAAATAACTAAAATAACTGATGTTTAAATTCTGATAAAACATGATTTTCTGCTTCCTGCAGGCCGGACCCACAGACCCGTTTATAAGCATCTTTATTCCAGCTTATTTTTATTTTAACAGGTGAACTTTAATCTGAAAGTCTGGTTCAGAGGAAATAACGAGGCACAGATGTCAGGTACAACTCACAAAATAAAAGTCCGGTTTATTGTCAAACAACAAACTTCGCACATACATTAAAACAGGCCGTCATAAACAAAATGTCGCTGACAAACAAACAAAACAAATTAAAGGAAAAAAAAAAACAGGCCATCCCTCCCATACAAACAAACTAGTTATGGTACAGCTAAAGTACATACATTAAATTTACTGGAATGCTCTGAGTTCAACGGCTTAACAGGTTCTTTTTTTGTAAAGTTTTTTTTTAAATTTTTACATGTTTTTCTAGTTATCTGCTGAGATTTGTAACATGGTCAACCAAGTAAAATCTTTAAAGGAGAAGCACCGGTGTGGTCGCTGCTGCCGGAGAGACCGACCCCCCCTCCTAACAATATGTACAAAAATATAAAATGTAAATAAAAATACAAACAAATCCTCCGTTCAGGTTGTTGTTGTTGTTGAAGAGAAGCCAGATTTCTGCGGCGGGATCCTCTAGAAAATTTATCTGCAGCTCTGAGGGGGCGGGGCTTGTGGAGACGAGTGGATGCTTGTTGAACTCTACTTGCTAATGACCATGTTGGATTTTTTTTTTTTTACTTTATTTATTTATTATTATTTTTTTCCTTTTACATCAGTCCTCCAGCCCCTCCACCTGTGACGTAGAAAAGAGGTCAGAGGTGAAGAACCAGGAAGTGGTTCAGCAGGACGGCGGCGGGAACGAACGCATCAATCGTCGTCGTCGGTTTTCTGCTTCTTGGGTTCCAGGTTGTCCTGAGAGCAGAGGCAGGGCCGTCACCAGGGTTAAAGACAAGGGGGGCTCAGCCCCCTGGAGACGCACACAACTTTTGTATATTTGTTTTGTATTGTTTGTGTGTGTGTGTGTGTGTGTGTGTGTGTGTGTGTGTGTGTGTGTGTTAAGCAACATTTATTTAGAGAACAATACCTACACTTTCAGATTATTATTTCCAGTTATTTTAAAATCACTCAAGACCAAATAATATTTTAACATCAAATCAAAAATACCCCAAAACTGAACATTAAAACTATTTTACACAATAAATTAAAGGGAAACTGACAGATTTATGATCATATTTTAAATAATGAATTATTAAATGGTTATTTATTCTGACCACATCATATTGAATTTTTGTAAAAAAATAATAATTTTTTTTACATCAAAATAATTTCGGGGGCTTTAAAATATTTCAATAGGCCCAGTGATGTCACAGGGGAGAGGGGTTAGACGGTGTGTGTGGGGGGTGGGGGGGGGGGACAGCAGGGGGCCCCGGTGGCGTCAACTCACCTCATCCTCTTCATCGTCATCTGCAGCTGCCCTTTTTGTGCCCCCCTCCAGCTCGTCCTCATCCTCGTCTTCCTCCTCCTCGTCCTCCTCGTCTCCTGCAGGAGCAAACGTTTGAGTCCCAGTTTCATCCAGAGTCCAGTCAGAGTCTGAACCAAACACCCACCTTCTCCATCATCTTCCTCGTCTACCTCGTCCTCCTCCTCCTCATCCACCTCGGGCTCACCGTTCTCCTCGTTCTCCTGGGAGCAGACAGGAAGTTGTCACCTGTCATCGGGTTAAAGCAGCGTGCGGTGTGAGGAGACTCACCTTCCCGTTGGTGGCAGCATCCTTCCCGTTCTCCTTCTCGTCTGCGAGCTTCTTCTCCTTCAGGTCCTGCAGAGACCGGAGGAGGTCCGTAAGGAGCTGCCAGCTGCTACCTGCCCTTCTACCCACTGGCCTACTTACAGCTGCACATTGTTTAACCAGCAGGCTCCGCCCCCTCCCTCTCCTCTGCTGTAATCTGATACTTTGATGTGACGCCCAGGGGAACTCTGGGTAATGCAGTCTTCCAGCGGGTCTGCCGTGGCCACCATGTCACGAGACACGCCCGGAAGAAGCACTGCATTACCCAGCATGCACCGCTCCGTTTAAAATAACACAGGAGGAGCAGGAGGAGGAGGAGGAGGGGTGATGAAGAGGAGGAGGAGGCGGGGAGCGCTGCACGCTGCTGCTGCTGCTTGTTGTAACGGAAAGGACAATAGAAGACGACACATGGCCGAACCGAACCGAAACACATCGTTTAAAGAGCGCCGCAGCGGCACCACACACACACACACACACGCACACCTCCCCCATCCCGCGCCGCGCGCCCCCCACGCACCCGACACATACAGTTATTCATTAATTGCTTAACATAATCTTATTGGTTAAAATCCATTAAGCTGTTTAGCTGCGCGCGGCAGGAGACGGACGCGGCGCCGCGTAAAAACGCGCCGCCCGCGCGTAAAAACCATCCAAACTAAAAATAGCCAGGCCGAACCAGAACCAGAACACTGAGGAAGAGGAGGGAGACGTCTCCTCTGCATCTTCACCATATGTTCATCCATCAGCAGCCTCGGAGCGGATCAGCGCCGCGGCTCGGTTCGGGCTGCGCGCGGAGCCCAAAACGCGATTAAAGTTTCACCAAATCTGATCCAAAGTCCGCGGAAAACCCGATCCACTGGTTCTGGTTCTGAAAGATCAAAGTCCGATAAGCAGGAGGGGGGGAGGCAGAACCCCACGGACCTCTGAGGGGAAAACCAGCACCGTCACCTCACACCTCCACAGCGCGCACACGCACGCGCACCGCGAAGAAGAGCGTCAGAAAATTAGAAAGAAAAAGTTTCCCTCCTCGGAGCGGGTCGGAACCTGCTGCAGACACGGCTCCCCGGGGACCGGACCAGAACCTCCGGGGGAGTCCGTAAACAAACCGGGTCGGACCCGCGCGGGCCCGCCGGTGACCTTTTTTCCTCTGGAAACACGAAGCAGAACCGGACCGAGCTGAAAGTTGACAGTTCCGCACCGCGCGCAGCTCCGTCCTCCATTCAAACACAACAACTCCACACCGAACCGGACCCGAACAGCCTCAGCACCGCGCACATCCGCTCTAATCCCGAACCGAACCCATCCCCCGGACCCAGTTTCAGGAGGAGGAGAAAACGCGCGTCGACCATCAGAAGCCCCGCACGGTTCCGACCCGCCGCCGCTCCATCAGCGCCGCGGTTCCGGACGGGATGCGCAGAACCAGCCCGCTTGTATAAACAAAGAACCCGCGCAGGGTCTACGGACAATGAGCCGCGGCTCGGTTCTCCACGGAGCCCGGACTCCCCGCTCCGGTTCTGGTTCTGAGGGGAGGGGGGGGGGTGATTTCCACTAGAATAAAAATAAAATAATCAAAAAGTAAAACCAGAACTAGTTTAATTCCTCTGACCCGGTCCGACCCGGTCCAACAGTGTGGAGGAGTCCTGTATGTAGGTAGGTTAGTGTGAGGGTCAGGGCGGCGGGAAGGGGCGCGCGCCTCTTACCTTGGCAGAGATGTCGGAGCCGGAGTCCACCTGAGTGTCCGCCATTGTTTCAGCTGCAGGAATAAAGCAGAATAAAGATAATCCCAGGGCTCAGAATCCGGCTGGATTACTTTGTGTCAGTGGCCGCGGTGCTGACGGCCGGGGCTTTATTATAGGGGAGGGGGCGGGGCCTGCGGGAGCTCTGCGGCCGCCCATTGGCTGGTGGGGCCGCCGGACTGGAACAATGGATGGAAACTCTACACCCCGAGGCCACGCCCCCTCCCGGTTCCCTCTACGCACCGTCTTTTTCTCCAATAAAACAAATGATCCGAACCGGTTAAAGCCCACGAACCGGACCGGACCGGGACCCACGGTGCCGGTCCGTGAGTCCACATCGAGCTGCGCGCTAAACACATCGAACACGCGCGCGCTCCGTTTGACGCGCTGTCACTTTGATTGATTGATGTGCGTCTGGAGGAATCAGGACGCGACCACGGAGTTTTCCCGCCCCCCGCCGGGACCCGGACCCACGGGCTGACTGAGACGAGCCTTCAGGACCGGATTATTTCACTGGATTAAAGTGATTTTCTGACGCGCGGTAAATCAGCTGTAAATGTTGAGCAGCGCCGCCATTACTCATCTGAGCCTTTCATGTCCGCCGCTCGCCCCTCCCCCTTCAACCTGCGGCCATGTTTGAAGCTCCCTCTCATCTCTATCTGCGCACTTAACCCTTTTTTTTAATCTAACCCTTAAATTCATGCGCGGAGGTCGAAACACGAACCGAACCCAGCAGAACCTGCCGGGTCGGGCGGGTTTCATGGCGGGAGCGCGTGGCTTTATTTCCTGTTGATGTCGCAGAGAGAAGCAGGGAAATGGCGGGAGGAGGAGGGAGGACACGGAGCCGTCGTGTGTTGAACAACAACACGTCTCTTACCCACTGTTCAACTCTTTCAACAATAAAACAGCCGCCATTGCAGACTCGGCTCGGCTCGGTTCGGTTCGGAGGTGGGGGGATGGGAGATCCGGTAACAGCAGCCTACATTCAACATTCTGCCCGGATGACGCACTCTGCTGGCGGGGACGTCTCTGATTGGTCGGCTCGCTGGGATAAACAAGACTCCGGCAGACGGCGGCCTCTGATTGGCCGCTGCTCCTGTCAATCAATTCAAACCGGGCTGGCCGGAAGCAGCGGCGCCGGATCCTGGATCCGGAGCGCTCACCGCGGGTTTTCTGGGTTTTTTCTTCAGTTTTGGACCAGATTGTCTTTTACACGGCCTCGTTTTGTCTCTCTCTCCCCTGCAGCCGTGTCTGAGGGTCTTTATGTTTCTTAGTTTGTTAAAAAAAAAAAAAAAAACGCGCTCTTTGTGCTTCATGTCGCTTCATCAAATATTAATGAGTCAGGAAGAGCAGATGGACTTCAGAGATCCTTCAGAACCGAGCCGTGTCCTTCTGACCGTGTTTTACTGACACAACAGGTTCCCTTTCAACAAACTTTTATTCACAATAAAGGCTTATGATAAAAAAAATACAGGCTTAGAATTAAGAATAAAGACATAAATACAGGGTTAAGAATAAAGACATATAATAAAAAATATAGGCTTAGAATTAAGAATAAAGGTTTATGATAAAAGGCACCAGCTCTCAGTTTGACAGTAAAATCATCTCTCGGTGAGGAAAAGAACAAAAAGTTTGGTCAAATATAAAATAAAGTTATACACAATCACAGCCCACAGCTACCACACCAAGTGTTATCTGTTTAAATCAGGTTTACTTGATGACTTATTAATTTTCTTCCAATTAAAAACATTTTAAGCAGAATAAACTTGGTTGAAATGTTTGAAGGTTTGCAGAGAAACAAATAAAACCAGGATGATGTGAAACAAACACAAGTCTCATATTTCTTCACAGTTTCACTTTCTGAGCTGTTGTTCCAGCAGCTCGTGTTTTAACACTTCCTTTTTCAAAAACACTTTTATTTTTTGTAAACAAACTGAACTGAGCTGCTTTCTGCTGCTGCAGCTGAAATACAATACAACTGGCTTTAAAGTCATTTTATAACAAAAGAAAGACTTTATCAATCTAAACAAAAAGAGATTATATTTGATTAAAAGCTGTAAAAATAACACGTTTTGTTGTTTGATCAATAATAAACAATCATAAATTCATTTTGCTGTAAAGTTTTAAGTTTATAAATTCAAAATTTCATCTGTTTTAAATCAAATAAACAAACAGGATATTTATGTTTTATCATCTTCCTCTTTGCTCCTCCTGATGATGATGATGATGATGATGATGATGATGATGATGATGATGATGATGATGATGATGATGATGATGATGATGATGATGATCAGCCAGAACCGATCCAGTCCTCAGCACTGCTCCTGAGCCGGGCCTACAGGGTCGCTTGGATCAGGATCTGGTTCTTTCAGTCCTGATCCACAGCTGACCTGCAGGTTCTGATCCACCGGTCCTACAGCTCCATCACTCAGGTACCAGAACCTTCAGACATGCAGAGTCCAACCAGAACCAGAACCAGCTCAGCTGGATCCTAACTGGATTCATATATACAATCATCTGAGGACCGGTTCAGTTGGTTCTGACTTCAGTCTCGGGTTCTCCTCGGTCCAGCCCGACCCGGTATCTGATGGTTCTGACCAGGCAGGACTCAAACAGCTCAGGTCTGGTTTTTCCCGTGCCGTGTGGATCAGGTTCAGCTGGTCTGGTTGGAGGAAGAGCGCTGGAAATGAGGATGAAGAGATGAAGCATCAGCTGCAGCCGACAGGTCTCAACCTGCTGCAGTCAGGCCCACGCTTCCAGAACCAGAACCAGAACTGAACACCAGGTCCTGCAGAGAAAAACTGATTTAATCTACAGCTTCACACAGTCTCAGTCTGCTGAGGAGAACACTTTACTGAGAAAAGTTCTTTTATTATCAGAAAAACTTACTTTATTATCAGAAAAAAATGTTATTATCAGAAAAAAATGTTATTATCAGAGAAACTGATTTTAACAGAACAATTTAGACGTAAAACAAAACAGAAAACTAAAGATTTCATGAGATCAAAAGAAAGAATTCAGATGAACTCTGTGAGTCTTCATGTGGATCAGGTCCAGGTGTAGACTCACCTGAAGAGTCTGGACTCACCTGGTCTCACCTGAAGAGTCTGCTTACCCTCAGAGATAAAAACAAGAAGTCTGGTCGCTGCTACCTGAGTCTACCTGTGCAGGCCCGTCAAAATAAAAGTCTGACATTTTACAAACACTTTCATTTTTATTTTCCCTCCAACAATTCAGACTTTCTGTAACATGAGGAGGAGGAGGAGGAGGAGGAGGAGGTCTGATTTCAGGACAAATCAAATGGAACCTGAAGAGTTCCAGGTGATGAAGAGTTAACCATGATGCTACCACCTCCATGCTCTCAGATGTTGTGCTAAGCTACACTGTAGCCACAGCTGCCCTGGGGCACACTGACAGAGGTGAGGCTGCCATGCACCGGCCCACCGGACCCTCTGACCACCATCAGTAGCCGAGGTGGGTGAAGTGTCTTGCCCAAGGACACAACGGCATGTGGGCATGGCGGGGAGTTGAACTTGTGACTTGCTGGTCCAAAGCTGCTCTGCCGCTAAACCACAGCTGCCCAGTTTCTGTTCCAGTTTCTGTTCCAGTTTCTCTTTGGGTCTTTTGGAGCTGAAGCATCAAACAAGAACCTTGATCCAGGACCAGAACCACCTGAGAACCTGGACCCTGAAGACAACAATCTTTGTCCTCTTAGTCCAGGAAGATTTTCTCCAGCTGGCCTCTGATCCGGGTCAGGGACTCCAACAGAACCTCCTCTAACAGAACCTCCTCTGCTGCAACAGAACCTCCTCCTGCTCCTATAGAACCTCCTCTAACAGAACCTCTTCCTGCAGCAACAGAACCTCCTCTAACAGAGCCTCCTCCTGCTGCAACAGAACCTCCTCTAATAGAACCTCCTCCTGCTCCAACAGAACCTCCTCTAACAGAACCTCCTCCTGCTCCTACAGAACCTCCTCTAACAGAACCTCCTCGTGCTCCTACAGAACCTCCTCTAACAGAACCTCCTCCTGTTCCAACAGAACCTCCTCCAACAGAACCTCCTCCTGCTCCAACAGAACCTCCTCCTGCTTCAACAGAACCTCCTCCTGCTCCAACAGAACCTCCTCCTGCTTCAACAGAACCTCCTCCTGCTCCAACAGAACCTCCTCCTGCTTCAACAGAACCTCCTCCAAC